TACATACATACATACATATATATAGTGCCTAAGGCACTTGACTGCTAACCAGAAGTCTGGCGGTTCAAACCCACCAGCCACTCCTCGGAAGGAAGGTGGGACAATCTACTTCCGTAGTGATACTGCCTCAGAAACCCAAGGAGGGGTCGCTATGAGTCGGGTGCGACTCAACGGTACATAACAACAATAGAGAGAGAGAGACAGAGAGAGCAAGAAAAAATATATATGTATAGACTGTCCAAGGAGGAATTCTACAGGTTTATCGGGGATTATTTAATACTAAATAGCCTAGGAATCAGTGTCCTATACTTTCCAGAGATTAGGAAGAAAACTTCATGGTACAGTAGGCAACAAAGTGAAGAAGGTGTTTCAAACAGAAGAGACTTATCAACAATGACAAATGTTGTTGATAGTCAAGTTAGTCAAGTTCCAAGAAACAAACCCACTGTCATCAAGTCAACTCCAAGTCATGGTGCCCACATGTATTACAGAACAGCACTGCTACATAGGGTTTTCTTCACTGTAACCTTTATGGAAGCACAGTGACAGACTTTTCTTCCATGGTGCTGCTGGGTGCATTCAAACCATCAAGTTTTAGGTCAGTAGGCAAGTGCAAAATGCTTGCACTACCCAGGGACCTACACAATCAAGTTAAAAAAAGAAAAAAAAAAGTTGCCTTGACTTGATTCCTACTCATAGTCAAGTTAAAGGACTGAAAATAGATCACTGAAGATCACTGGTGAACTTAGTAGTATAAGTGGTCAATCAAGGGGGTAGTGGTGAAAGCCTGAATGGAACGAATTTGAAAGAAAGGAGGGGAAAAATTAGGAAGCAGCAAGTACAGACAACTCTTCAGGAAAAGTCTGAATGAAAAAGAGGCAAAGAAAGGGAGACAGGAGAGTCTTTGTTCATGTTTTATGATGAGAGATAACAACCTATTTTTATGCCAATGAAAAAGATCAGCATATTTTTTCATTTAAATGCAAATTTATTGAGTTCCTGCTATGAGTTTAAAGAGTCCTGGTGTACAGTAAGGAGCACCGCCAGTGGAACAGTACCTAAGGCATCTGACTAACCAGAAGGTTGGCAGTTCAAAAAACCCACCAACTACTCTGCAGAAGGAAGACTGGGCAACCTACATCCATAAGGATTTATCACCTTATTTTGGTTTGATGGTACAATGGTTAAGCCCTCAACTCCTAACCAAAAGCACAGTGGTTCAAACCCACCATGGGGACAGATGTGGCAGTCAGCTTCCATAGATTACTGCCTTGATATGTATATTACATGTTGGTGTGTGCTGCATGAATATTTGTATATATAACAAAGTATCTGGGGACACAGTTACAGGTACTTTCTAGACATAAGCACCTCACAGGATTAGATTACTGGGTTTGAAGTCTGATGACCATAGTCTCAGGACAACTAGGTCAATTGGCGTAATAGAGTTCATAAAGAAATTGTTCTACATCCTAGTATGGTGACTAGCATCTGAGGTCTCAAAAGCTTGTGAGCAGCTAACCAAGATACAGCAACTATCAGTATCTACTCATTTAGAAAAAAAGAGATAGAAGGAAATAAAAGACTCAATGAAGGAACTAGTCCAACAGGAGTAATAGCTCACACAAACCATGGCATCATCAATTCTTGAGACCAGAACTAGATGGTACCTGGCTACTACAAACTACCATCCTGACCAGGGATGTAATAGATGGTCCCAGAAAGAATGAGAGAAAAACGTAAAACAAACCTCAAATTCCTAAAACAGGCCAGACTTACCAGACCAGTAGAATGTAAAGGATCCCCCAAGATTACTGCTCTGAGATGATACCCTTTAACTTGGAACTGAAGTCACTCCTAGAGGTAACCTTTCAGCCAAATAATAGGACAGCTCATAAAATAAGCAATACTACCAATGCGGTCCTTTAAATAATCATCTATGAGACCAAATGGTCAACATTTACCCTAAAGCAAAGGTGAGGTGGGGGTGGGGGTGGAGGTGGAGCAGGAAACTAGATTAATGAAAACAGAACAACCAGAATGGAAATAATGAGAGTGCTGAAACCTTGCAAAAAATATAACCAAAGTCACTGAGTAATATGTATAGAAATTGTTAAAAGGGAACCTAATTTGCTATGCAAACTTTTACCAAAAATACGATAAAATAACAAAATTAAAAATGACTATAGCCTTGAAACTCTATGTATAGGGCAGTTCTGCTCTGTCTTATAGCATTGCTATAAGTTTGAATTAATTCAATGGCAATGAGTTTGGTTTTGGGTACTATAATTCAAGCACTAAGAGATGGATAAGGTAGTTGGATAAAGAAAAATTAAAACAAGGCAAATATTCTATTTGAGGTATATATAGGTGGCATGGGTGAAAATAAAAAGAGGGACTCTTAGGGGAAAAGGGCCAAGTAAGGATTTCTAGTGAGGATTACAATTGGACCTTGTTCTTAAAGAAGTAAGAACTCATGGAGATACTGCAGGTAGAGAGAACAGCAAGTAAAAGCAGAAGGATCTGCAAACTTGGGTACATTAGAGAAACTGCAACTTGTCTGCATGGCAGGACTAAAGGGCAGAGGAAGAGCAGGAGAAGGAGCTAGATTAGATATGATTCTATATGTCAAACCATACAGTTTAGGTATTTTTTTGATGAAGATTATGGGATGCTCTCTAGGATTTTTAGCAAGTTAGTATACAAATATTTGCCTTTTAAAAATATTTCTCTGGCAGCAGTGGATGAGATGGATTAGAGGGTAGCCAGGTTAGAAGCAATGAAAAGCTATGGTAGTGATTAAGGTAACGGCAGAGGATAAGGCAAATTGGTGACAGATTCAGAAAATATTTCACTAGATATTGTGTGTATGCATGTACATGTGTATGCTACCATGGTAAAAAGGGTGGCAAGACAGTAAAGAAGAAGAAAGAGCCAAGGAAGAGCTCCCAGATCATTTTAGATGACTGGGTACAGAGAAAAGCTAGAGAGATGGAGATGACAAGGGGAAGATACAACAACACATAGACAGCTCTTCTAGCACATCATTAGCATTTCTGTGCTTGGCTGAAGCTAGAAATGAGAAAAGGAAGGTGATATCCCAGGCAAGTGCAAAGAAAAATCGGTAAATTTCAAAACTCTGGGAAACATGATTTGTTAAGGGGCAGGCTAGAGAACTGGTACAAGCAGTATCAACCAAACAAGTTAAATCTATTATTGTTCTACTTTCTACTAGTTCCCAAAGTGAATATAGTTTTATGATGTTTAGCTTAAAAATACATCTTAATTCAGTACTTTGCACATACTAGGCACGTAAATTTCTGCTAAATAAATAGAACATAGTTTACGAGTCTGTTGAAGGCTGATTAATGAAATCTCACAGGATATACCACAAAGGTAAAGAGAAATCTGGGGGACACTTAGTGACTGACAGGATTATAGGTAGTATAAAAGTCTAGTGTTTGGGGAGAGGTATAAAATTATCAATGAGCTAAATAGACTCTGAGAAACATTTCAGATATTGTACCATGAACACTAACACCAGGGAGGTATGCAGTCCTTAGACAATCAACTATATGAGATCAAAAAGACAGCATTTGACCAGGAATAAGGCTCCAAAGACAGGAAGGGATATGAAAGAAGGATGAATGGAAACTGTAAACAAAGGGAAGGAGAAGGAAAGACTGCTATCACACTGTGGGGAAGGCAATCAATGTGTGTGAATTATTGAATGGAAAACTAATTTGCTCTATAAACCTTCATCCAAATCACAATAAAATGATAAAAAAAAAAAAAACAGTAAAAAAGAAAGAAACGTTTAAGGACTTATGAATGCAAAGTGCCATAGTTAACTGAAACAGTAAAAGTGTACAAAGAATCCTATTACAATTTAGAACTACAAGTTAGAACTCAACACTTCTTTGGTATAAATTCACTTTTACACTTTTTGTGTATGTTACCTTTTTGGTTTCTTGTTTGCTTCTTGAGTTTTCTGCATTCCATAAATTGCCCTTGTCAAATCGGCCACGAAGACATGCTAGTTCTTTCTCACGTTCCTAAACCCATCAAAAGCTGTATTTTACACAAGAGCCAATAGTGCATTTAAGAATAATATCAGAGCACTACTAAAACCTCCCTTGTCTTCAGTTTTAAGACAAAATAGTTCACAATACACATGGAATACAGGACAATATTTGCAAATTGAAATGAGTAATACAAAGAATCAAAATGCTACTTATCTAGTCAGAAAAACTGGGATCAGAACTCATTCTTGATTTCTAGATTCTCTGCTGAGACCATGTAATACAGTTAAATGCAGTAAGTTATACCTGCTTGAGCTGTTGTTCTAAATGAGTTGTAGATGAAGAAGTGTTTTGCTTGAATAATCTTTCTCGGATGGCCTTTGTATTTGGAGTGATAATTGGGGTTTTATTGGGTGTGCTACGAGCTGGACTGTCTTTGCTGTGTTCTTGACAACGCTCCCCAAAGCGTTCCAGAAAATGCTTTATTCCTGCTCCTCCTACAGAAAACACACACATTTTTGGAGACTACTCATAGTAACAATTACGATTTCTAATGAAAAAGTTCTAAAATTCATTAATGTTCCCAAATCCTTTGATTTTAGACAATCCATTCAGAATGTAAATAGTACAAAAATAGTTCAAAACGTTAAAATTTTCTCACATTATCTTATTTAATTCTATGCCCTAAAATGTATTTATAGGATTTAGATCTTTTAAAAGAAGGGGGGGGGGACAGGGGCCAGTAAAAGGGCAGTGGGGATTAGACAACTCTCAAACTGAACAATCTGAGCCTAAATGATTAGGAATTGACCGTATATGCATTAATAAACCTACACTAGCCACCAAATGTCCCGGCCATGAAAATTTCCAACAACTTTTATTTCTACCAAACCAAACCCAATCCGTTGAGTCAGCTCTGACTCACGGCGACCCCTCCTTGAATTTCCGAGGCAGTATCACTATATTTCTACAGCCCAATTCATTTATAAAGCCTTGCTGTTGTCTACGGCCATCGTGTCCTATCCAACTTATAGTGACCCCTCCTTGGGTTTCCAAAGGCGGTAGGTATCTCTACAGAAGTCGATTGCCCAATCTTTCTTCTGAGGAGTGGCTGGCGGGTTTGAACTGCCAGGGTTCTGGTTAGCAGTCAAATGCCTCAGGCACTACACCTGGTATATGCAAATCCGGGTATTTTGCTTTCCTTTTTCCCCTTTAAAACAAAATTAGAGATTCTTCACTTTATCAAAGAGATATCTCGATTTATAAAAATCTGAAACCAGTACTCATTTGAAATAGTATGATGTACATTTAAAGTAGGGCAAATGGGAGTTATGTCACTTCCATCATGAGGATGCTAAGGTTGTATTACGTAAAAAGAGGTTTATCTACATCACAGGTTGGCAAACTCTCACAGTAAAAGGTCAGACAATAAATATTTTGGACTTTGAGGGTCACAGGTTTCTGCTGCAATTATTCAACTCTGCCTTGTAGGACAAAAGCAGCCACAGACAATTTGTAAATAAATGGGCGTGTCTGTGTTCCAATAAAACTTTACTTACAAACTTATTTTCAGTTTATATGAGTTGTAATCATCAAAAAGATACAAGAAAAGTATCTAGTATGGCCATTCTAGAAAAAGCGTATTTCACTGATAAAATGTAATACGTTAAATAGTTTGGCTAATAAATGGGTTAATCTATACTAATGAATATTCTTTCAGTCAATTAAAGCTGAAGTTGAAGAAGCCTCATTCAGAACATTTGGGCATTTGTCCTGGTAAACCAACAGTGGACCATTCACAATTACATATTAAATACTGAGAATAACATCCTAAAAATAGTCAGCAGTAACTATAGACTTTAAAAAAAAAATACATAACCTGGTGTTGCAGATTTGTCTTTAGAATGAGATTGTAGACAAATTTCTCTATTTTGTTCTTCTTTAGATTGAACTGTTTGGGATGCAGTTGGCTCCACAACTGACTTTGATACCTCTGTTTTCAAAGGACTAGCAGGATTTTTTTGAAGTAGCTCAGGATTTTGTACTTCACGTTTTTTAGCATCAGTGATGGTTGTAGCAGAGGATTTAAGTGGGGAAGAAGTAGTGCTCTGAAACATGATAATACTTAGGGTAAACAACAATATTCACAATATCTACAAGCAGTCCTACAACAAATTCCTATCTGCTTTGTAGACTTACGCAGACTTATGAAAAAAAGAAAATTTCTTGCCATAATAGGTCAAACCAACTTGAAATATTTGAAAACAATCATTAAGGAAATGCTATTATAATTTAATCTGAGCATATATATTCTTCGGAAGGAAGATGGTACAATCTACCTCCACAGTGACACTGCCTTGGAAACCCAAAGAGGAGTCACTATGCATCGGAATTAACTTGACAGCAGTGAGTTTGGTTTTTGTTTATACATATTCTAGGGTAATTTAGTATGAGGGGGAAGGTCTCTTTCTATTTTGAAAAAAATGAATGCTTGCATATCATTGCACTAGTACGTTTATCCAATTATTAATTGTATTAGATAAATTGCCAATTTTTTGTGTTTTAAAAATCAATTTAACATAAGAGTAGTGAGTACTTGATGACTTATTATAATAAATTAGCTCGGCTGCTAATGGAAAAGTTGGCAGCTCAAACCCACCCAGAGACTCCATAGGATAAAGACCTGGTGACCTGCTTCTGTAAAGATTACGGCCAAGGAAACCCTAGGGGGGAAGGTCCACTCTTTCGTATGGTGCCTTTATAAACTGGAATCAACTTGAGGGCACCTAACAACATGTGCCTGGGACTATGCTAAGTGCTTTACGTACGTGATCTCATTTAACATTCCTTATAAACCTTTCCTCATCTTAAAAAACAAAGCACAAACACAGTGCTTTCCAGTCGATTCCAACTCACGGTGATCCTAAAGGACAGGGTAGAACTGCCTCCACAGGATTTCCAAGGCTGTAAATCTCTGTGGAAGCAGATTGCCTCATCTTTCTCCTACATAGTGGCTGGTGGTTTTGAATCACTGAGCTTTTTGTTAGCAGCCCATGCTTTAACCACAGCATCACCAGAGCTCCTTTCCCCATTTTACAGATGGAAAAATAAAGCTTCACAAGATCAAGTAACTTATCCAAAGCTACACTTGCAATTATATGGCACAGCTGCAACTGAATGCAGGTCTAATTCCAAAGCCCAGATTTATACCATCTAAAAGGCAAAGCTCAGAAAAACAGCATTCTATTGTTGTTATCATTTTAAGATTGTTTTTTAAAATAGTTAAAGTAACACATGCACAAGGTAAGTTTTAATTAAGCATTTCAAAAGGAATGTAATGAAAAGTATCCTACCCACCCTTGAAACCCAATGGCAATTTACCTTCCTGGAGGTAAATAGCTACCCATTTATGATATGTTTTTAAAGATATTCAATATCCTATATTTATACACACACATAAGCATTTTAATGGAGAAATTAATTTTCAGTGTTCCTCCTAATGTCCAAGATTCCATCATTCCATTATTACATACTTTGGATTTGCATTAAATTGGTGTAATTTTAGTTGTAAACTGCTAGTTTATCCTAGGGTAGGGTATCAAACTTAGATTTTCACTTTCTATAAAGCCAGTATTCTAAAAATCATATAAACACACTATTTGTATATTAGAAAATACATACCTGCACACATATTATAAAATATATACCTATGCACATTACTGTGCCTAACAATAAATAAATAAATAAAAGGTTTCCAAAGACCAAAATTTCATTTACTTACCACAGAGCTGGAAATGCAGGCATTACTCAAAGATGCATCCACAGCCCTTGAGGATGGGGCTTTATTCAAAGAGGCATCACCATCCCTTTGGGAACAGCATGTAGCTTCCTGCTTAACACTGCTGCTATTGATCCTAGCAGATGCTCCACTTGCAGAGGAAAATTTGGATAAACAAGTGGTACCAGGCTGTTCTTGTCCACTGTTTTGCTTTGCAGATGAGTGATTTACATCATCTTCCCAAGAGCAAATAGTTGCAGCAAGGTTGGCCAGCCGGCCCCTTCTCCCAACTGGAGTTGCCAAGGCATCTGAATGGGGCGGTTTGGGAGGGGAGGCAGCCTTTTCTTCTGATGGCATTGAGGAGAAGAGAGAGCTTTCAGGTTTATCATCTGAAAATATTTCCAGAAAAGAATCAAAAACCATGTTCAAGAGCTAGAGTCATGCATACTATCAGGATCACCCCATACATACTTCTAAAATGAGGTTGATAAGTTTAAGAACCAATAAAAAGTTCCCATCTGCATAAAACTAGCAACCTGTTTAAATTTAACAATTTCTTCTCAAATCAGATGACACTTAATCCAAATCCAAAAAAATAAACATTTTGTTACATTTTTTAATTTTTTTGATAGCTAATGAATGCTATAAGTTACCATATGTTTCCATTATACAGGTAGTCCCCGATTTGCAATGTATTCAAGTTATAACAAACTGCATTTACCACTGACTGGGTTTTTTTTTTCTTTTTTTTTCCCCCAGTACATCTTATCCTTAGCAATATTTACTACATACAATGTTGCACCACATAATTTGCTAATGTTATAATTCTCAGATGTTCATTCCTAAATGTTCAATGTTATGATCTACTGTTAAAAACACTGCCATATAGCAGGTTGTGGTCTGGTATACAATGAAGTCGGTGTCAGTATTAGGAGTTGTAACAGAAAACTGGGTAATATTCTACACCAACAACATATGACAACTGAACTATGCATGTGCCCGAAGCATTATGACTCTGGCTTCATTATTACAACACTGACACTGACTTCATTATAGTCCGGGCCTATAGCATGATCTTATTCAGTGTTTCATACCATCAAAAGTATCCATCATAGGGGATCTATGTAGGAGACCCTTGCTAAAGGGGGAGAACAATGTGGAACAAAACTCATTTGGAAAAAAAAAAAAAAATTCTCAGGTTTGCTGGTCCAATAGAGCCTGGTATAACCGCTGAGACTATGGCCCCTAGCTGCCCTTCAGGTGTGGAATTGAACCCACACTTATGGTTTCCAGCCAAACAAGTACAGGCATGTGAGTTAAACATTTACCTCAAGTAGATACACTCCTTGGAGAGAACAATCATGGGAGAAAGAAGGGCTGCTTATGCACAGGGAGACAGCTCAGGGGGCAGGATGGACACAGGGAAGAGGTAACTATGGGGAGGAAGTGGGAGGGGAGCTGTTGCATTGTGATAAACTGTGGTCAATGTCATGAGACAGTGTATGTGAATTGCTGTATGGAAAGTGAATTTGCTCTGTAAATCTTCACCCAAATCACAATTTAAAAAAAAAAAAAGTAAAAAGAAAACGTATCCGTCATTAATTTGAAACCAAGCTGTTCAAGTTTCTTACACTGCAATACCTGGACTGCTTATACTCACTATAATAAATACATCAAGCAAAATAAGCCATGCCCCTGTAAATTCTAATCCAAAAAAGATGAGACAGGCTCTAGACATAGATACAAAGATGAAGATCATTAAGGCTTAAGAAAATGGAAAGAAGTTGGTGGAATAGAACTTAAGGAAGGATTGTATCATTCAACTATTTAGAAAGTTCTTAAGGATAAGAATAGAATTTTGGAAACAGTTAAAGAAGCAAATGGTATAAAATTGACAGTTTTAACAAAAAATAGGCAAGGGCCAATCTCCAAGATGAAGAAATTATTGATAACTTGGACAGAAGACAAAATCAAAGCAGATTGCTATAAGCTTACTGAGGATCAAACAAGAGCATGTGACCTTTTTGAAAACCTGAAAAGAACAGCAAGGAGATTACTGCAGGTATTTTAATGTCACCAAGGGCTTGTTTCATTGCTTCAAAAGCAGACTTGGTTTGCATAACCTGCTTGTAACTGGAGAAGCAGGAAGCACCCATGTTGAAGAAGTTAAAAAATCCAAGGATAGGTTGGACAAGACAATACAAGATGACTTGTATCTACCAGGGAAGAATTTCAACATGGATGACACAGGCTTGTTTTGGAAAAAGATGCCAGAAAAGACCTATATTCACAAAGAGGCAAAGTCAATGCCTGGTTTCAAGGTATTTAAAGACAGAATCATGCTGCTACTTGAAGGAAATGCTGCTGGATTTAAATTACAACAATTTCTTTTACCATGATGAAAATCCTCAAGCATTCAAAACCACTGACAAAAATAAGATGCTGGGCTACTGCAGAAGGAACTCCAAGGCCAGGCTGATGACTGCGTTTATTCGAAAACTGGTTTTTAGATGATTTCATTCCCAAAGTACACATCTATTCCTTCTTGAAAAGAGCATTCCTTTTAAGATTCTGCTATTTGATAATGCCCCAGGGCATCTTCCTCATGCAGATGATCTGAATCAAGATGTGAAAGTAAACAAAGCCAAGTCTTGATAAATTTTAAAAGACTGAAAGTATACAAGGGAGCTCTGGTAGGGTAGTGCCTAAGGCACTTGACTGCTAACCAGAAGGCTGGCAGTTCAAACCCACCAGCCACTCCTCAGAAGGTTGGGCAATCTACTTCCGTAGTGATACTGCCTTGGAAATCAAAGGAGGGGTCACTATGAGTCGGTCTGACTCGACAGTACATAACAACAACAACAATGAAAGAACACGAAGTATTTTATCTGACCACAACTGGGTGAAGCTAGAAATCAATAACAGGAAAAATCCTAGAAAATATACAAACATATGAAAATTAAACACACTATTAAACTAAGAATGGATCAAGGAAGAAATCACAAATTTCTTAGAGTCAAATGAAAACGAAAGTGCAACATACCAAAAATTATGGGATGCAGCAAAGATAGTACTCAGTGGGAAACACACAGCAATAAATGCCTACATGAAAAAAGAAGACCTCAAATCAACAGCATAACTTGACAACCCCAGGTATCAGAAAGGGAAAAGCAAACTAAGACTAAACCTACCAGAAGAAAGGAAGTAACAAAGATCAGAGAATAGATTTGATGCATTGAACACCAACGACTGAAAGCCAGATGAATTATGGGAAGATATCAAGAACATTATCCATGAAGAAAGCAAGAGATCACTAAAAAGACAAGAAAAG